ATATATATATATATATATTTATTTATTTATTTATTTCGTTTTTTATTGTAAGTATTTATTCAATAATGATTTTTCAAAGTGACAACTGTAAAGATTTTTTTTCAAATAGCAAAAGCAATTATAATTGAAGATTGCAATAGTGGAATTTTTTGGGATTTCCAGTTTAATTTTTCTTTCTTATTACATTATCAAAATGATAAAATGGTTTTAAAGGGTTTCATATACTAGTCAAGCTTTTATTCAATTTCTTTCATCCGCCTTACTACAAAAGCTGATGGATGTGAAAATAAAATAATTCTTTTTCAACGCAATTCTATAGAAAATTTTGAGACTTAGAAAGATATCTTATATATTATAATACTTAATAACATCTTCTTTTAAAATAAAATACTGTCTCTCTTATATTTATCGATTGTATTATGAATTTATGAATTCGGTGATTTATTATATCTAATAAAGACAAGCTAATCCTTCAAATATTTTAAAGAATAGACAAAATTAATAATCTAAATTTAACTATAATCAACACTCAAAAATGTTGTTAAATTTTCGAAACTTGTGTGAGATTATTACGATAAACTATTTTATTTAATATGAATTTTATAGATGAATATAAGAACCTGATAAATATATTACCAAATTAGAATAAACTACACAAATTTGTATTTATTTAAAGACATTTTGTGTTTATAAGTAAATAAGATTTAAATGAAAATACTTAAGCTATTGATTTGTTTTCCCCGAATGTATTCATTGGTTGATTTGAAAATAAAAAAAGGAACGAAAGAACTCGACGAATAAAGAAGCAAATTTAAAGAGCAAAGATGCTTAGACTCCCTGTAAAATAATTATGTTAATCGACAAGACAAAGTTTTTTAACCCGCGGGTACCAGCGAAGGCTCCGCTTATCCTTCAGACCGCAAAGCGGTACCCAGATAGTCTCCACTTGTCTCCTTCTATCACTTTACATCCTTATCTTTTTCTTTTATCTCTGTTTTCTACTATATCGCTCGCTTTTCAAAAGCGTAACACTTTAATCGGCTCGAGAATGCGAGCAGAGGGTATTATATCCTTCGTTCACAAAACTTTCCTACCTTATTACTTTCCCTTTCAGGTTCTCGCTTACATTTTCCACGTCGTTTTGTCTTAAGCGAAATGATTGTTTAAGGTCGGAATCGAGCCCAATAGATTTTTATCGATCCAGAGTTTTCGGGACAAAGAAATGATAACATCGTAATTTCACGCACTTCTTTTTCTCCTCTCGATTAATTGTTATAAAGTAATGTAATGATGATAATGCACTGGCAATTGTTAAAATCAAGATATACATCATCTGAAATAATAATGTAATCAATAAAAATGCGATTATTTTTAACTATATTTAAAAATATTTTATTTCATCTAGTCATTGTCAAATATTTTTTACTTAAAATAAAAAAATTTGATATTCAAAGTACATAAATATTAGGGAGATTTATCCACATGACAACTATAAAACAAAATATAAATAAAATGTAGTATTATTTAATTATTCATACGAACATATGAATAATTAATATTTACATATGAAAGAGAACTTGTATTTAATAATTACGTAACATATTTACAAATGTAACATACACACGTAACAGTAGAAAATTAAAAGTTTTTTATATAAAAAACAAAAAACTTTTAGAACTAAAGTCTATTCATTGTGAGAACAAAAAGTCATTGTTGTAACGAACAAGAGAAAAATTAAAATGTACTTTTAAATTCATTTCCTTAAAATTGCAAATGTATTTCTTTACGCTACATTACGATCGTTTGCCAATTCTCTACTTATCTTAGCTCTAGATATATGATAAAAAATACTTCTTTTTTTTTATGAAAGGCTATAGACTTTCTTATTTGATATAAAATTGATTCTTGCGTAGCTTGCAGTTATCCTTGAATAACCTAGCCCTTAAAATATAGTTGCCATCAAATATTTTCCATTTTTCAAGATACCCACAGCTGCCCGCGAAGACTTAAAATAAATAAAAATATATATTATATAATAACAATGCTGAGAATTAATATAAAGGAATAATTATATTATGGGGAGAGAAAATCGTTGGGAGATAAATTTCGTATAAAAATAGAAGTGAAAAGGCCAGAAAGGAAGAAACGGGACACGATGATGAAACTAGTACAAGATAAAAACAATATTAAAACCATGCTTTCGTTAAAAAAATAAAAAATAATAAAATAAAATAAAACAAACAAAAAACATAAAAAGTAAATACAATAGAAAGAAAGGGAAAACGTATAGAGGGATAGGAAAATGAAAAAAGGAGTGAGGGAGGAAAATTCCAGTGGCCACCTTCGATTAAATGCTTATCCAGTAGCTCGAAGTAATTTCGCTCAAGTGCAAACGCTTAAACATGCTTTTCTGCTTTCTGTGTTCCTCTCTCTGTTCTACTAGACATTACGGTTTACGATTTTTATCAACGTTCGCGTCTGTATATTGAGATTTTTGTTCGTTCGAGTATTTCGAAAAATTCTTGAATTTCATGATACGCGTACCGACACATCCTTTCATTTACATTATTTTTATTATTACACTTTCAGGATATTTTTTTAATTATTGTATCGTCAGTTGGCTCTACCTCTTTAGTTATTACATAAGTATTGGAATTTCTTTGCTTAATTGATCTTTCTATTTTTTTTTCTTCTCTGCTTTTCTTAATGGAAATTATAGTTTTGACGTCGGTTTTATTTTACACTATTTTCATCATTACATCTGGAATAAAGAAAATAAATATAAATTTTTTTCTATGTCAAAAATAAACTAATTTAAAAGCTTTACTATCCATAAGATATTTTGAACGCATAATTAATATACAGTTAATAATTAATTTGTAATTATGCGTAAACCGTATGATTAATGGGCCTAAATATATTAATTGAATTGTATTTATGTATTGAGAACATCCCATTGGTTTAAATAAGATTAATAAATTAATTAAATACTTAAATGCATCCATAATTGAATACTTTTCAATTACGCATAGAATTTTATTTACATAGTCTTGAAGTAATACTATACTCTTTTGTCAGATACATACTTAATTGAAATAAATGAAGATATTTTAAAAAATAATTAACATTATTCGAACGTCACAAAATAGATCAGTAATATATTTTTGTAAAAATGATTGATAAAATAATAAAAAATCTTATATCAATAATTAAGTAATTCGATTTTAATATTATTAAAATTTTATGTCTCATTAAGTAGTGTTAATAAGTTTAACTGTGTAATCAATATGAAAAAAATAATTTGTTATTATTATTATTATATAAATGATTGTTATGAATTGTAAAAAATATCAAGTTTTATATTCTTTTATCCTACATTGCACTGTATACACATAGATAAAGTAAATCTAAAATGAAACTGAAATATTAGTTCGATTCATAACTGAAAACAATGGTTTAATCACTATTTACTAAATAAAATGAAATTCATTTCTACTATATATATATATATATATATATATACATATATATTAAATATGTGACTTTTTTCAAGATAGAAGATTAATTTCTTTTTAAATAAAATTGATTCGATTCTTCAAAAATTAAATATTATATTATTATAAGACTTCTTTCTTTTGTTTATAGATTATGTTTTTTTTTTTTTTTTTTTTAGTAATGAAATAATTAAACTTTATTTGTATATTTTCTTATTTTACTATCTAAATTACCTTCTAAATTTGTATAATCTGTTATAATTTTAACAAGAATTTCTTAATTAGACAACAAGAATTTTATATAAAATAACTTCAAAATATCTTATTTATATTCAATTTTTTTTATGTATATAGTTCTTGATATCATTTATTTAGACAGCCCCTGTCACAATATATATGTTCTCTGTGTGTGTGTGTGTTACCAGTAATGTGGCAAGTAATTAATAAATGAAATTTTGTCTTCGTTATTAATTTCTTTATTTGATTTATCTTTACCTTAATTATTTAAACTCTATTTATTGTGGTAATATTATGTTTTATTTAGTAAAATATTTATTTGTTAGTATTATATTTGTCATTATATATAAAATAATTATACGATTTATCTATTTTTGAATTGTATTATGCCAAAAGTATTTTTAAAAAAATGTAATTTTTTTTTTTGTTTGAATATATATATATATATATATATATATATATAGAATGAATATCATTATTCCTTGTAATGTGATTGAAAGAAATAATATGTGTATGCGTGTGCGTGGATACCTATTATATATAATAAATATAATATATGAGTGATGAAAAATGATTATATTCTCACTGTAATTAGTTTTTCCACTCATTCAATTGAATTTATTCGTATTACATTTCAATAGAAAATTGTTCTTGTTTTTACTATACTTTACTACAAGCATGATTAATTATTTTGCATTAACGTGAAATTATTGACATTAATAATTATGTTATTTTTTATATATGCCAGTTATAAAGTTCTATATTTTAATTTAAGTTGCACTTATGAAATTTGTTAGTACCACGTTATCTACTGAATTATTTTTCATGATCTTAAATTTGTTATATATTGATTTATTGCAATTTTCCATTCTAATTTAACAATAAATCTTTCACAATTAATAATACAAAATTTTTCTAATACATTGAACAAAAATATTGCTAGTTATTATCTAAGAAAAATAAATCATAATATTATTGACATAAATTAAATAATTATGTTAAAAAAATAATTCATTCCAATCGTACAAAAAGAAAAGATGACAATAATTCTAATCGTAATTTAAAAGAAAAGAAAATTTAAATTATAACAAACTTATAAAAATATTAAATTAATTATAATAAACATAATTGTTTAATCATTTAAGCAACAATAACATATGTATCGTCTCTATATTGATAAAAATATTAATAAATAAAAAAATTATAAAATTTTAAGTAAAATATTTCTGAATAAACTTCTGCAAAAATACGTGAATGTCAAACTTATAGAAACATATGTATTACGTGGCTTGTAATCAAGCATTTTGAGTGAAAATTTCAAGACTTCTCTACAGATTGTCGCCGCATACTTATTCTTATTATACCTCTTGTTCAACCCCGTCTTGGCCTTCATCTTGACTTCACCCCACGTAAAATCATTGTGTGCTTGTGCTCACATTGCTTGTCACAATTCCACGCGTCGACAGGCACTTGTTCCGTGACCTGCCCATGTATATCCCAGCAGGAGTTGAGATATTTTCGGATGGTGTTCGCCGAGGTGCGTTTGGTTAATATTCTGATTTGTGCGAAGATCAATGAATACGTAAAACATTACTCGTCTTAATGCGACTTTACTCGGCACTTTGTATACATTTTTTGCATGTACCATAGCTTCCTTACTTACACTCATAAATATGTACTCGGCTCTCGTGCATTGCAACTGACATATTTAAAGAGCGTATTCAAATTTAAGTGGCAACAATTTCTTCGGTATTTTATCAGCGTAGTTGGAATTGTAGGTGACGTTATTGAAGATTGTAGCTTACGAGATGGAAATATTATTATTTGAATGACAAAGGCTTCAATACCCAAAGGCTATTACAGTCAATTAAATATAAGGTTACAATGCAGTCACTAGACTTTTATCAAACAGACTCATATAAGTCTCGCTTTTTCTTTACTTTTTCAATAAGTGCCTACTTAACTTTATAAAGATTAAACAACGAGGTCGAACTAAACATTGTTACGGCTGTAGCAACACAAAAGCTTATATAATACACGCGAATACGTTTTATCGATATAAAACAATATGTTGAATAAACAAAACAACTTAGAAACGCACATCTAAATCCATTATAATTTCGATGATATTCTCTGGCAAATAGTAACTAATAAAAAGTATTGTACTCGTAGAAATATTAAATAATGTTATTTTATTAATATACAATAACGCATTCATAATTTATACATCATAATCCATGTGAATTTTATGATCACTGGAAATTTATTGGAATGAGAATTAATGAATTTTAAAAATGCAGAATGTTGAAAATACAAATAATTTAAATAATTTAAATGACGCAAATATTAAAGGAATATCATGTAGACGTTACGAATAATTTAAAAATTAAAAATATTCACACGGTAATAGTTGATGATTCAAACTTTTAATTAAAGATTCTACTTTTTTTTTTTTTTAAGTAAAACTTGTAATTAAAAGCACACGATCATACATTAAATTACGAACTTTAATAATCAAATGTATCGATGTTGTTATGAATTTTACTTTGCTTTTTTGGAATTTTTAAAAAAAAAAAAAAAAAAAAAAAAAAAAACAACCACTGCCTATAAAAAGTAGAAAATAAATAGTTATTTAAAACTATGTGATGAATAAGTTGGTATATGTAAAGAATTTAGAAGACATGAAGTAATGGACAATTACCTTAAATATTGATTGAGAAATGAATTAGCTCCGACCTCTAGGCAAATAATAGTTTAGGCATTTTATAAATTTGCTAATATGATACAGATTTATAAATTATCCATACGGTCTGGCAACAGCATTGCATTATTATGAGAAATGATAGCCCATGTACCAACAGAACAAAGAGAGAAGATGGAGGCACGCGCGGAGAATTCCAAAACGAAAATACGACTATGCGAGAACAAGAATGAGGCGGAAAAAGACGAGGCAATAGGTGCATTCTATCCCTTTCATCGCTCTTTCTATTTTTCTCGCAAATACATAGAAAACTGTCTTCAAAGTAGCAAGAAGCACGAATTTCTTACATTTTTTTCCGGACGACATTGCGATTCTTTCATTTTGCCTCCTCCTGTTACTTCCGTATTAAATACAAAATGTAGGGCACGAAAAAGAGTGCAAAAAAAAAAACAAAAATTAATAAAAACCAGTACACCATTCTGACATTATTATATATCTAATGGTATATTTAGTATGTATCACTGATCACGTATATGTATCACTTTTTCAGCAGAATATAAAAAGCGAATATATCTATTCATATGTTCAAGCATATAGACATCTTTTAAATAATGCAAATATGTAGTTATATCGATACACTTTTTTTAAATGTATTTTGGTTCCGGGAGAGGCATATGAACCGAAAAAATGGAATAAATTATACCAACAAAAATTTATATATATATATATATATATATATATATATATATATATAATGATAAAATAAGAGTGAAATAATAAGTGATCCTGTAAATTTTGATAAGAGTGAGATCAAATTACCCTAATATGTTGAATTTGATATTCGTAAGCAGAGAAAAACATACGTATTCCAATATATTACAGCTAAAATATAAATTTTACTATAGCAAGCTTGTAACATTCAAATAATATAATTTCTGGACAATCTTTATCCTTTACCAACTATATTTAATGCTATATATCCATGACTGTTTTATTAAATTGATACACTTTACAATTCGCCATGCTCGTGCGAAGGAAAAACAGTAATAAAAAAAACTTTGCTGCGCACGTGCACTTACAGCAAATACAAAAGTATGCTCCGCGCGTTCATACATTCGCGAATAAACGAGAAAATCTAAAACTTTTCGTGCATTATTTTTTCAAATTGAAGTGGAGGTTAAGATTCGCGTGGTTGCTGAATAACGAGCAAGATTCCTACGCTTCAAAACAAATATTGAAATGATTAAAATTCTTGTCCTCGTCCTTTCACCCGAGGGCTATGCTAAATTGTAAATTTTTAATATTTTTCTATTACATTTCTTACAGGCAGCTGCTGGGCAACGGCACACTCTACTTTCCACCATTTTTGGCGCAGGACTTCCGCGCCGAAATTCACAATGCCCGCTACAGATGCCGGGCGAGCAACTCCGTCGGCACCATCCTCTCGAGGGAGGTTACTCTTCGGGCAGGTAATGGCCGTCAATACATGCCTCACCTCCCCTGACCCTCCCATATCCCATGGGCCCGAACAACAATCTCCGAATCACACTGAGGACGTCATTTTTCGTACCCTCGCTATTTAACAACGTTGTTTAGGATCACAGGATTTTCAACGATTAGTTTAAGCCTCCGAATGATGATCTAGGATTATGCAGAGATTACCCGAATGAAAATCGACGTGCACCAATTATTGGACCATCTATTTAAAATTAATCGTAACAGTTGGGGTCCAACACTTCATTATTTTAAATTCATCGAATAAGATATCCGACTTTACGACATGTAGGCATTATAAAATTATTGAATGAGATAAAGTTTCTGAAAAATTATTCAATTTGATGATAAAACAATTACCGAGACCCTTATACTTCAATCTTAACGCATAATTCACATGGATAATTTATATTTATTATTTCAATTAATTTTATGACTCAAGGATATTTTATTCGGCATATTTTTTATTTCCATTATTTACATTTCATTTTTAAAAAAATATGAGCATCTACGGTTTACTCTTGCCTCGGAAACCCTTCCATACTGTGCAATCCAACGATATAAAGTAATATCGCCTTAACTCTTATAAGAAATATATACATATATATATATATATATATGTTGTAATATTATTACAAGCAGACATTTTCCGCAACCAGTTCTGAACGACTGTGAAAACATTTTGAAAATTAGTTATTGTAGCAAGTGAAATAGCACAAGAAGCTAATGGACCGATATTTCTGCAATTACCGTTATTTAAATGAAATGCTTTCGTTTAAAATGACAAATATCAAGAAAAGGTACTCGTAAGAGAGATGACGAGGTGCATCAGACTCCGACACCAATAACGCTGCTTATTTTCCACCTAAGCGAGTATATGAGTGCGCGGAGAAAGAGCGGAGCTAGCACGACCTGTAAATCCTTCGATTTCCGTGCCAATCGAAGTGCCCCTACGATCTCGAGGGAGAAGGTAATCGGGTGAGCGAAGCATCCATGGGACCTCCATTCTACGACGTGGTCTCTTTTGGATCAAGGCAGAAATAGAGAGAATGAGATATCGAGTGAGAGCGAGAATGCGAGAGGGAGATCGAGAATGCGCGCGATATAGATATACGCTACGCCCATTGGGTACCTGACCCCGTATTCCTCGATTTCTCTTCCGACCTTTGCGCCTCTCATCCTTCGTTTTCCCTCGAGCGTGATCGGTAAATTCGCCACCTACTTAGTCTCTCTTCAACATTTCCTCTAATACGCATATATATATATATATATATATACATACATATATATTTGCACGCAGGGTGTAAACGCATCGTGGAGCTAATATTGCTTACGTCACGGACGTGCCCCCGGAGATTCGCTTGTTTCAGAGAACATCAGTCACAGACCATAGATAATCTATGACTCAACTCACGCGAGACAGGAGAAGAAAAATTCGATTCCTAATTTTTTATTTAATAATAAAGATAGTTATATCGTGAATGGAGAATAAAAGTTGAATAAATACATATATCGATAAAACTGAACACGCACTGACAATGTCAGAACCGTATTGGTAGAGACCGAAATGTTTTTCATTCTATCGTTCACGCTTCATAAATTTTATGTCTACCATTTAGTACTGACCAATTTGTTACAATGATAAAATCATTGGATTTTCATTGCTCTTTTGATAAATTACGCTCGTCAGAAGGCTATGCAATGAACAACATTTTATGTGATAATAACATAAATATTGTAATGAATTTTTATAAGATCGTTTAAAATATTATTTCAAATACTGAGGAAAATAGCAATTTTTATACTACGCATAATATTTAAATTTAAAAACGAAAACAAATAAGGGTCGCGTAATGTTAGGGACTAACGTATTAAATAGAGATAAAAAATCAAGATGTGTAACATTATCGTCCACCTAATTTATTTCGGTTGTAGCCATTCTATAGATGTAGCCAATAAATTAATTCAATGCTTACTTTCCAATATATAGTTTTATATAATTATTACAATGGATTTTACCAAGATATTGAACTTTTTTACCTACGAAGAGAGAAAAAATCCAAAAGTCAAATAAGGAGAAATTTGATGAGAAAGAGTTAGATACTCTACTGGTTTTACTACTTTATCCTTAAAATAAATAAGGGCATTACAAACTGAGATTTTATAAGAAATATAACTAAATATATATATTTATTCCAAATTCTGCCCAACTTTTTTTCTCCACTCTTTTTCTCTTTCTGCCTTCACCTCCAATAGCCTTAGAATAGTTCAAAACTACTTTGATTTTTTACTCACATTTCTTACTTTCTTTAAATATGTGTGAATATTTGAAAATAAATAAGATAGACAGAGAATGAGGGCGAGAGGATAACGTAAACAAATAGTCAAGTAGACTCGGCAAGCGATGGAGATTGACAAATATGATAAATAGATAGATTGATATATAGATAGATAGATAACGGGGGAGAGAGAGAGAGAGAGAGAGAGAGAGAGAGAGAGAGAGAATAAGTTGTCAGATTGGTATACTGGTTACATGTAAAAATAAGATTTTTCTCATGTATATTCGATTTAACCAACGCTTACAAGTAGGGATTCAAGTTAAGTGCACTGCATATGTATGTGAAAGAGAGAGAGAGAGAGAGATGAGACGAACGTACGTGAGGTAACGTTTAAATGGCTGCTTTTCAAATGATCATATCGAATTCTGCTTTTTACCCTTGTACGTTCTCAACCCTCGGCACCCGAGGACACCAAAGCATATTTATATTTGCGAAAGCACTCTTCTTGGTACTAGCCTCACTACCACACTCGGCTCTTTCCCACCCCTCTCTCACTCTCAAATTCTCCATCTCTTTTAATCGCTCACTCGAGCTAGCTTGTACCTCATCAGCCAAATGATTTCCACTACACATTTCCTCGATATCCTACGCGAGCAGACCATTAATCGAAATGACTCCTCGTTAATCTCGCCACGGACACATGACTTGCGTATGTCTTAAAACGTAAGATCGTATAAGATATTTTAGAGTTGGAACATCCTTCCTCGTAATCAACACCATCCGAATGAACTCTTTTAAAATTTGTAATTGGTTAACTCGAAATTGCCGCAAAATTATAAAATGAATCAACGCCCGCGTTTTCATTGCTACCACATGTATTTCTCACTTCTGTCTCTCTCTCTCTCTCTCTCTCTGTCTCTCTCTCTCTCTCTTTCTCTCTCTCTCTTTTCTCGTTTCATCTTTCAAGAGGATTGCTGTAGATGAACACGTCTATAACTAAGAGAACGCGTGTCATTTTTTTTCTCCATTCCTCTTTTTCTCTCTCATATCTCTACATTTTTCTTTTTTCATCTCTACCTCTTGTACATCTATACATCTCATCTTGCTCTTTTGTGACTCTTCATTAAAACATGTGGTGCTACTAGTAATTACGCGTTTAATTATTTAAACGAACGAGCCAACATTCATGAGACCGCCCCCGCCTTTATATCTACCCGAATTATCCATATTATATAAAATGTACTCTTTTCAAGTACTCTTGCTTACTTGCTTATTTATGCTTATATGATTTCAAATGTAAATCGTTTGGTCGATTGAAAGTCGAAGCGGGTATTGAAAAATGTATATTACTAGCGCAACGAATGTCTCTTTACGAGATATTGCGCAACGATATTCTATTGCTGCGACACACAGATTTTTTTAATCCGATCTTATTTATAGTCTATAGTTTATGTAGTTATATTAAGTAAAGCCAATTACAATTAGAATTTATGCTAAAATGACAGGACAATCTCTTAAAAAATACGTTCCGATAATCATATAATCAATAATAATTACAATTATAATAATGATGATAATTATAATAGTAATAAAGATGACGTCGGTAATGATGATGATGATGATGATGATGATGATGATGATGATGATGATGATGATTATGATGATGATGATGATGATAATAACAACATTATCAATAAAATTAAATAATATAAATAATATAAATGAACGTATTAATAATGTAGTTTTCTTTTCTTTTTTTTTTTACAAGGCTTCTACTTTCTCAGTATTCTATGATCAACGCGTTTAATTGTATTTTTGAATTGGAATCGCACATTGTGAAAAGCAATTACTCTTTTGTCGCAGAAAATTGCAAAGAGCATTCAACATTTTCAGGTAAACGAAATAAAAACTTTATAACCCGTACGAGCATCTCGAATGAGGTCGACGGACTATTGGAGCAACCGTTTGAGTCTGATTGCGCCTGATTATCTAATAAAAGCAGAAAAATGGTCCGTACTTTCTTCTCAAAAGGTGCGCGTCAAGGTAAATACGCACACTTGGCATTCGCTCCTTATCATCCTCGCATCGCGACTAGCAGGAGTTAGTTTTCACAAGATTTTTCATCGGGATGGCGCGCGTCTTCCTGCACTTCCATCTCCCTTTAGCACTCGTTAAAAGAGAGTGCCTTAAGGTAGATTTGTCAAAAAGCTGTCGCCTGAGAGAGAAAAAATAACGATAGAGATGGAGATGGAGATGGAGATAGAGACAAATAGAGAGGGAGAGAGAGAAAGAGTGATATATATATATATATATATATATATATATATATATAGATAGATAGATAGATAGATAGGTAGATGAAGAGAAGGAAGGAGGGAGTGGGACGGATGTAGTTGGAGAAAGGCAACGAATTGAGTGCCGCGGTAGCGAGTCGCACGCGCTAGGCCTGTGTTGCAAAAGATGATGGGGGCGTCTAGTTAGACGAGCAAACTCTCGAGCGACCCTCTCGAGTGGTCTCGACCGGCCTGGCAGCCGCCACTCGCTCGTAGATTCTTTACATGCGAGTGAAAGGTGATCCGGGGAAAGAAACTTATCTAAAATGACATCGGTCCTCGACCGGTCCGCTGCTGTTTCACACTCCAAAGGACTTATTTCCAAAGACATTGAGCCACGACTGGGAAAACAAGGGAAGAGAA